TGGCACCAATCCCGGTGGAATCCCTACTAGGATGCGTAGCTGCGCCGGGAGAACCACGCGATTGTTGGAAGACACCAGCGATCTCGGTATCTGCGATYCGATCCAATCCAGTCTCGAGCTACAGGATGGAGGAAGATTCAAGTCGTCCATGGAAAATGGCTGGAGGGTGGGCCTGAAACAACTCTATTCTTCACCAGCTACCATCGGCCTCGGCAAAAACAAGAACAGCGACAACCGCCATCACCTCCTTCCGATCGAGGATATCGAAGCGAGAACAGCTGCCGGTGTGGGTTTATCTTTGTCGATCGGTAAAGGCACGGTTCCATCGCCGCTCGTTGTTCAACCAAACAACGCCCATCCGTGGCCGTCGTCGCCTTACTTCCTGCGAGCCTTTGTCGAAGCTAATCCAGTATGGGTCAGAGAGCTCGTTCTCAAATACGGGGCGGTTGTTTTCCGMGGRTTCGATGAGTATGCAAGCCCAAGCAACTCAATCCTTCGGGCRCTGGAGTCTTGCTCCGACCGTGCTCGAARCGTGGGGCTCGAAGGCTATCTCGTTGCTCCGTCACCACYGGGAGAGAAAAGCGAAGCTACCTCTTCCAACGCAATAAGAATCCTCCCGGAGGTGGTGACCACGGATGCGGGAATCACGGATTTGCGCAAGATTTATCCCGATTTGCCCCCGGAGCTCCGTACCAAGCTTGCAAATAGAAAACTGCTGTACAGGCGCTCCGAAAATGCGCCGGTACAATCACCAGAAACCAAGGTTCCGGCCTTTGATATCGGCGAGAGGAAGACAGACGACCAAAATGGTGGCCCGGGCCCGTGGTTTCAGCTGTTTGGAACCACCAACAAGAAAATATTCGAGCGGACGTACCGAACCATCGCCGATGCCGTGCTACGGAACGAACGCAGGATCCACAACAGCGCAGTMGAAAGGAACGAGTACCTGGCCGATCCCTTTGCGTTTCATCCGGAGACGCGGGAACGCGTCTGGTTCGGGCTCGCGCACACCTTTCACTGGACGTCGGCCCCGGCCAAACTCTTTGGTGTCTTTTGCCGCACCGGGAGTCTCGAAGCGCTCGGCCGTGCCTTGCGCACGGGGGCTCGATCGCTKTGGGTCCACGGGATCCGGCGGGAGCGAACGACTCCMGTGGAGGTGACCTTTGGAGACGGAACGCCGATATCCGTGGGGGAAATGCACCAGATTCGAAGGGTGGTTCGGAAAAACACGGCATACAGCCAACTGCAAGAGGGGGATCTCTTGATTATAGACRCCGTGAGCGTGGGATTGCAAATAGATTGATAGACATTTATACACGAAATAAAACATATTTACTAGTACTACACTCGGAAATGGCGTTGTCTCTCGCTCTTCGGACGCGTTTGCAATCGCCGGCACAACAGGAGCTCGAGAGAACTCWAGCTGCCCAAGGATGCTTTTCGTCCGTTCCCGGGATGGAAGCCGGCAAGAGCAGAAGGGATCCTTCCACGCTGGCACGAACCAACGGGCCTACCGCARCTGCCCCTCTCCGCAGGGAAAAATGTCGCTCTCGGGACAGAGGTCGTAATCGAAGTACTCCCAGTGGTGCCGGCCGAAGCGCTCGGCATCGGCATCGCTTTCGCTCTGGCCTTCGCCTCCGGCCTCCCCGTTTCCCTCCGGCCAGACCCCGCGGTGGGGTTCCAGGCAGCGGGGGAGGTACCGGGCCGGCAGGATCGGCCCCGGCGGCTCCGTCGGCGGCTTGGCCTTGGCCTCGTCCGCCAGGGCCTTGAGCTTCTCGAAGGGGGTCTTTTGCGAGCGGGAGGGCTTTGCGCTGGATTCGGCCGCGCTGTCGGTCGCGTTCGGCGGCTTGGCTTCCTCGCGGACGTACAGGGCCGCGAGGGAGGGGGCGTCCCCCGTGCCGCTGGCCAGGATCGAGTGGGAGGTGAGGTACCGCCGGGTCACGGACCAGTTCTTGGTCTCCCGGAGCATCACYGCCGCGACCGCGTCCGGCTCGAGCATCTGGTCTTCCGCCAGGCCGAGGGACCGTTTGTCGTTCTGCTGCTCGATGTCCGTCCAGAACCCGTAGAAATCCCGGAGAAAGGCCGGGCTCATGATCCACCCGCTCGCCCCCACCCCGGTGGAGACAAAGTAGCGGTGGTGCCCGTAGGCCAGGTCCGCGAGGTCCTCCAGCGGAATGCACAGGTCGTTGTCGGCTTCCATGTAAAAGTAGTAGCGGTCGACGTCCGCGTCCGCATCGGCGTCTTCCTCTTCGAGGGAGAGGAGGTACCGGAGGATCCTCAGGAACTTGGACCGGTAGCACTTCTTGGAGTACCCGAGGCACTCGTCTTCTCCTTCCGCCCGTGGTTCCGGGGGAAGCGGGCGGCCGTTGTGGAAGAATCCCGCTSTGACAGAGGCGTAGGGACGGAGGGTCTTCCAGAACTCGGTGCCCTCCCCGCGGTGGGTGGCGGAGAAAGAAGCCTCMGCCTTGGCCGTCTGGTTCTGGTCCCCGTCCGTCGCGTACAGGTCGACAAAGTCAAAGACGTGAAAGCCGGGGGGRACCTTGACCGGGACCGTCCGCTGGGCGTCGCGGATGGTAAAGGGAACAAAGACCCTCCGCTTCTTCCCCCCGTTGGCGTGTCCGGAGCGGTCCCCWGCCTCCTTCTCCAGGCGGTCCCTCGTTTTCTCGAGCCGGCTCCGGAGGTCCTTCAGCTGGGATCGGAGCGAGGAGGGGTCCGGGCCGGGGGACGCCCCGGAAGGGTCGCTGGGAACCGCCGCCCGGTTCGACGTGGAGTTTGCCCCGTGGTTCGGGTCCGGCCCTCCGGTGGGGGAACCGGGGGGTGCCGGGGGCAGCTGCACCGCGGCCCCGTGCCGAAGGAAGCCTCCCGCGGCCGGATCGAWGCCGCGGCCGTCCGACCAGAAAAAGGCCAGGACGTTCGCGGTGATCTGCAGCCAGCAGACGGCGATCCCGGCCAGGATGTACAGAAGGACCGCCCGGCACCAATTCTGCCTCCTCCCGCGGTGGCTCGCACGCGGGATCTGTTGCTGGTGGTGGTGCTTCCGCGGAAGCTCGCCGTTCATGGGACGGGGGTGCAGATTGTGCCTGTTGTCCYTGTTGTGTCCGGCCGCCATGGTGGGTGGCTCCGAAACGCCGGGTGGTGCGCAACGCAATGCAATGCAATGCAATGCAGGAGGTTGCAACGCAGGAATGGCTGGAGACAAGCCTCCGAGACTCCTATCGCTTCTTCCGCGAGTTGGTACGGTATGGTGCGAGGTATGTTTTGCTTTCTCCTGCCGTTTTTGGTTTTTGGTACCAACCAAAAAGCAGAGCACGATACGATAGGTGGGATGCGGGTACACGCCGTACATCGCGTCCTTGTAATACTGTAATGCAAGTTGTACACTACGTACCGTACGGTATCAGTTTACTGTAAGGGTTTAAATGGTATTGACCGCAATGCTAGTACGTACTGGTACGAGTACGATTCATACGGTACCGTACGCTATGGTTTTGTTCTCGCGTCTCGCGTCTCTCCTCTCTGCTCTAACTGCAAAGATATTATATTATGTATCATACATACTACATTGTTGTATCATACAAGTTTTCTCATGTTTCAGTGTTGGGGGCAGAAAAGGATCGCACACCCCTCATTGTGAATCCAAATCCAGATTTCATTCGATTCAATGGATCGAAAATCTAAACGACGATGTCTGGTGCGTCTGGTTGGTTGGTGTGCATTTGCGATTCTGACAGCACCATGGTTGTCAGCTATAATAGGGGTGGGTTTTGTTTGTGCTAAGTGCAGTTCTTCTAAGATCCATCGTAGATAAAGCGCTGCTTTACCAGCATCTGCCATATTGGTGAATTCAGCTTCTGTTGAGCTCTGTGCTATGGTTGGTTGTAATCTTGTCCTATAATAGACCGCGGCTCCTGCTAACATCATAATTACTCCTCCCATTGACCTCCTTTGGAGTCGATCCGATGCCCATGTCGTATCACAGGCCCCATGGAGCTGTATGGGTTCCGTAGACTGATAAAATCGTGCCAGTGTTTCCGGTTTAGAGTATGGGATCGGAAGAGGAGTGTCTGGAAGGTCTATTCGTGGTGTTGGTCTCCAGTATGTTAGTCCCTCGTGTTTAGTAGCCAGAAGATAAAGAAAGAGAGTCTTAACTGCCTCATAGTGAATTTTAGCAGGTGAGTGTGAGTGTTGGCTGAGTGTTATTACTGCAATTGAAATATCAATTCTGCATATAGTCAGTGCATATATTAGTTCTCCTATGCATTGGCGATAATTGAAGCCCTGCGATTGCTGTAGTTTGTGGGCTTCAAAGGGATCAGTGGGCCCCTCAGATAGCTGTATTTGCTTTTGGTATGTGGCGTCTTCCTTCATTGGTGTAGGCAGTTTCCGTGTGTGTCTCCGGACCTTGTCGTGTGTCCATCCATGGTGGCTTGCAATCTTGTCTATGTAAGTGCTGCAATGGAGGTGATTGTAGTGTTTGGTTTGATCCACATGGATTCCATTGAATTTTCGTATGGTACCAAGGACATTCAATGGGTTTGTCATCCTGTCTTGGATGAGGCCTCTGATGGAGTCACATACTGATTCTTCAGCATTTGCAATTAGGAAATCATCCACCTGTCGTAGGATTAATGTGAGACCGGTATGGTCATGCTTGTAGTATAAACAGGGCTCATGTGTGGTGGGTTTGAATCCCAGATCCTTAATAAGTATGCCAGAGATGTATTTATCCCACAGACGTGGGGATTCTGGGTGGCCCTGAAGGGCTTTACGAATGGGAATCACCTGATCTGGATCAATTGGGTCTCTGTGGAGACACTCTGTCCACCACTGTTGAAAGGGCTCATCAACCTTCATATAGAAAGGTGATTGTGGGGCTGGGGCTTCTACAAAAGCGTTTCCGACGTCATATCCAATGCAAATAAGGTTGAGGGCAGCAGCAAGTGCCCATGTGAGTCTGTGAATGGGTTGTTCCACACATGCGGCGTATGTTTCCGCAAGCGTGACAGCTTTCCCATATCTCCGGCCTCCATTGCATGTTCCACGGGATTTTGGTTCATTGGCCCCTGTGAGCGGATTTTCTTTCTCAATATATGTCCAAACCCAGGGCAATACTGTCATATTATTATGCGATTGGACTGGGTCACCAAACATGCCTACTTTGTGGTATCGGTTTAACTGTTTCCATTCAGAGTTAAGGAACTCTTCCCACTTGGGTGTAGCTTGAAGTTTACGGCGTGTTAGTTTTGAGATATTGAGCTGTTCTTGGACGGATTCCGGTGCATCAATAGGGAGAGGCCATTCCTTCTTGTTGGTCCAAAGGTCTTGCTGGTGGTTCAAGCTGTGTAGATGGTGTGCAATTACATTCAGTTGGTCTGCTTGGAGAGTAGGGATACCTTCTCCATTGATTGCGAATCCAGTGAGTGTACCAAAGGTGAATCGAATGGATGTTTTGTGGTTTTTCTTGGCTTCCTGAATTGCAGTGATGAGGTCCTGTTTAGAGGAGACTGGCTTATCATCCGCTGTAGTGATGATAGTGCCCCGCAAGCGTCGTTTCCATCCCCTGATTCTTGAGTGGGCTATAGTTCCCACCTGAATGGACTGGAGTTCCACAGCATTCTTGATATCCGGATGGATCCCAACAATGAATCCCATTGTGGGGTGTATCGTGTTGGTGTTTTTCAGTGGAAGGGTATGGGAGACCTCAGTGATATAAATGTTGGTTGAGATATCCAGTGTTTCAAGTTCAGGGATAAGTGCCGTGATATCGGGCCGTTCAAATTTAGTTCTATGAATCTGTGCTTTGACCTTAGCTGCAGCTGCTGCCGTGTATGCGTGGGGTGCATCAGAAATGATCTCCTGAATGATATCTTGGGGATCCCTTTGGCGTGGATCTTTGATGTTGAGACTGATGGGTTCCGGTCCTTTGTTGGTTGAGTGGCTCTCGTGGGAGCCCTCAGTGAATGTCTCCAGGAGGTGTGCTGCGGCAGGGGAGCGGTTTGATGGATCATCCCCATATTGAAGCTCATCTTTGGAATCATGCCGGGCAGTCTTGTCAGTACCAGTGTGAATATCGAAGTATTTTATATTATCAGTAGTATGGCCATAACCAAGGAAGATGCCGTCATATGTCCATGGGTTGGTAGTAGTAGGCCGTGTGCCAGGGCGTTTGGCAGTTATCTTCGAGCCAAATGTAATAAGATTATCAACAAGGGGGACATGGCCGGTGTACAGTTGTAGTGGTGTCATTCCAATGGCATTATGGTATGTTCGATTGTACAGCCATGTTGCATGAAGGAGAGCATCAGTCCAGTATTCTGTGCCCAGGCCAGCAGCATAGAGGAGACACCTGATACGTTCCTTTAACGTACGGTGTGGTCTCTCTACGAGGCCATTTTGGGAGGAGGTGTCCGCTGCCGTAACCCGCGAGGAGTATCCATGTTGTTCAATGGTAGTTTTGAAGGCTGTTGAGTTAGCGAGCTCGCCACCCCCATCTGTCATGATGGTGCAATCCAGATGGTCCGGGAGTAGGTCCAGGATGTAATCTTTGTCTTCAGGTGCAACCGTGTAGCTGTGCTTAGTAATTGTATCGGAGAAAGCTCGTGATCGGGCTAGATAGCCATCATTAGTGGTAGTGATGACCGCTTTCCGGGGGTCACTTGTTTTAATGCCATGTTTAGTGAGGAATTTGTCGATTATGGTGAGTGGGGGCTCCTTATTCTTGACTGGGAAGGTCCAGAGCGCTCTTGTTGCTGCATCGATGATGGTGAGGAAGCCAATGTGGCCATGGCGGCTTTTCTTCAGTGTCGGTTGGGCTTTCTCATTGTTGTGGAGTATGCCCTGGAGGTTGGGGGGTCCACTAACGAAGGAAAGGTCCATATGTAGGGATTGCATGGGGATGAAGATTTCTTTCGGACGTTTGGATCGTCCGTGATATTTGGTCATTTTGCTCTTTTCACAGAATGGGCAACGAAAATAAGGGGTATTGGAAGGGATGGGGGGTATGCCATCGACAACCTTTTGTGTTTTAACTAGGGTAGTGGGGGATATGTGTCCATATCGTTGGTGCCAAAGTTCCAGGTTCTTTAATGCGGTCGATAGACCGGAGGACCATGTAGCGGTCCGTGGGGACGGTGCCGGCTGGTCCGTGCTCGGTGTGTCATGGGGACCGTTGAGTTTACTTACCTGGGTACGATAGCGTTGTACTTCTCTGGTGATATGCTCATTTTCCAGTTGGTTCTGGACCAGGATGTGGTTGACTGAGTACCAAAGACCATTGTCCCGTACTGTTTGAATTGATTCAACTGTATCATTGAGCTGGTTTATGAATCGTATAGTTCCTTTGTTATCAAGCCGTCCTTCTTGCTGGAACGCGTAGAAGTTACGTGAGCGCTGGTAGTGATCAGGGGAAATTACAGTTCCTGTTGAGCTTGGTGTATAGAGCGCGTGCCAGCGCATTATGTGGCCCTGGTCTGATATAATCCTTAAATAGCCTTCGCCATGTGCCTGGAATGATTGTTCGACCCTGTCATCCGTTGAGAAGACTCCAACTGGTTCCGGGACCGCAAAAGGCTTATAATCATATAGCAGGTCACGTTGATTGGTGGCTGATATGTTGGCTCCCGTGTCGGTTTGTATGGGTTGCTGCGTTGGGTCATCCTGTTTATTGGGGAAGGCAGTTGTCTTGCGAATGTGTTTAATTGAGCGTGACGAGTCAGCGGTAAGTATTTGTATATGATGACGGGTGTTTTTCCTATGTGTGGAGTGTGTCATGCGGAGTGCCGGTTTTTGAGTGTTATATTCGGACGCGAGCGAGTCGTTGTGAAGGTCAAATGGCGTTAAGTCAGATCCACGGGTGTAGTACTCTGCTACCGTGGGCGGGTCAGGAGAAAGGGGAGGGGTTAAGTGACACTCCTGGCATTGGTTTTCAGTTAGTGCTGTGGAAAGTGTGTATCTGTGAACGCGGTGGTTGGGTCCGGGCCGTAGGGATGTACAGGGATTCGTACTAGCGCGGCCGTCGTGAGGCCTGGATTCCGGTGGGTCTGTAGTACAATCACGTGTCATGAGTACTGGAGGATCCGCGAGTGCGGTTTTTGTTTGTACCTTAGCGATATTGCTGCTGTAATCGTTGCGGAGGAGTGTTGCCACCATAGTAGCTGTATTCCGTGGTTGTAGCCATGGCATGGGACCCTTGTTGCCGTTCCGAGGTGGGTCAGGTAGTAATGTATTCGTGTGCATTGAGTGTGTGAAGACATCGTTGTCGTGTGGATGTGTTCGTGGGAGGGGGAAGC